TTTAAAAAGCTCTTTTTTCAATTTCGCGCCTCTTATTATCCTTCTGTTGATTTCAAGAGAGAGAGAGAGAGAGAGAGAGAGAGAGGGAGACGGAGACACACTTTGTTATGTAGTTTAGAAGGATCTAAGGTGGAAAAAATTCAAGCCTATATTTCATCTGCGTTCCCCGAGGCACAGGACCGTTTTCAGCGCCTTACGAGCCCTCGCGGCTTTAACGACGTGAGCCGTCGTGTTCGCCGATTCTACTGGCGCGGGTTTATGGATTACGGTGCTTCTTCAGCACCATAAAGTCTGCCAGAGGAGATCAGCAGACGCGCGCGTGAGTCACGATGCAGAAGGAAGCGGCCTCGCGTCCTGCATGTATATATAAACGTTAATATCGCTCATTCTTTATGACGCGCTCTCGAGGAGCTGAGGAGTGCAAGGGCCTCTGATAACCGTTAACCACATCCCGACGTGAATTCCTCTAGTCTAATCTCCCCGGCCCTTAATCATCATTGTTCCCGGAGAGACCACGCGTCACCTCGAGGAATTTAAGATCCTGGCGGCCTGAGAAGATCGGATCATCACGATTTCGCCGCGTCGCTCGCGAAATCTCTCGTGATTTTCGCGTTTCGCGAGTGAACAACGTCGAAGTTATTGCGCCTGATATAGGCGGATTCCCCCCGTGGAATGCGGTCACATTGGAACTGGCGAGTTGTGAGAAAGTCACCAGAAAGAATTCCACCTTGGAAGCAGATTGATTTCCGTGGCATCAATCGTGGGACACACTCGCTGTTTTTATTCCGCGGCAGTTTCTTTTAACGAGATTATAATGTATAAATGTTAAAAAAAAAAAAAGAAACTTGCGAATACGAAATTCGCGTTAAATTTCGCGTTAAAGGCTTCAGGTTCTGATCGAGAAGTTGAAATAAAAAGTACTTTAGAAATCCTCCAATGGCTGTATATAAAACGAAATTAAATTTAATATATTTATATCTATAATATTTAGACATATCTGTTGCAAGTATTATGTCGTATAAAATCCATTTTTCTTGCGTCACATTTAAAAAATATCCGATTACAAAAATATTTACATTTACATTTGGTGTATACAAATGTATACATTTATTTGATAGGAAAAAAAAAACCATTATTTTGATCCAACTCATTTTTTTATTTTGAGTAAATGCTTATTGGAAATATAGTGAATGTTTTGAACGATCGCCGTGATTCTTTTGTTAATCCAATTAATTGCTTGGATTATTTGCCATTACGACGACGGATTATGTCACCGGATAAATCGATGTTTCCAATTCACTAAATATACAGGACAGACTGAAAGTCTACTGCTTCTTCGTCGTTCGTAGAGAAGCGAAAGGGTCGACTCGACGATCCGTAAATTATGCGGATGATCGTTGTCGCGAGTAAATTATGTACGCGCGTGTTCCTCGACGACGACGACGACGACGACGTCGACGTTTCTTCGTCATCCTCCGGTGGCACATAGCGCCTTGTACTTGACTATCCACGTCTCCCAACTCTTTTGTTCGTTACGCACGCGTCCGATGCATCCGCGTGATCGGCGTGACTCGCATCACATTCGCGGTCGCTTCATTGTTTGTACTGACATGATGCAACGTGCGCGACTTTCGATATCCAAAGCGAAGCATCCGATACTCGGACGCGATCGGACGCGAATGTCGGGAGCTATTGGTATTCAAGGAACGGAATTGAAGTGACGAAATTCGGGGAGCCGCGTGTACCTTTCTCCTTTCTTTTTTTATGATACCCGCTGCAGGACGCGAGTGACTCATATGTTTCACGCGCGTGCCATGCACCGTGCTGCGTCATGTTGAAATCTTTTTGGATACCGTTAGATAGAACCACCCCTTTCAGGAATGTCCTTGCTCAATTTTCTTCGTAATCTTCTGAGAAATCATATTTGCGTCATTATTAAAAAAAAATATACGAGAGTTTCTTGTAATTTTTACAAAAAAAAAAAAAAAAAATGCATCACGGATTTTCGTCTATTAAGTTAAGATTTAGTTAAGTTTTAAATTAACAATTTGATTTAGCTACGAATGTTTCTGGTACTTAGTTTCCCGAAAGCAATTATGTTAAATTCAGAGTATACGGAAAGTAGGTGAACGCCAATTTAATGTCTTTTTCTTTTCTTTTTTTATTCGAAGAACACAGAGAAGTCCAGAGAAATCAAGTTGTTACCTATAAAGCCCTGCGAAAATGATTGATATTCAGAGAAACGCTCGCGTGTCGACAAAGTTTTTGTGCGCATTGCAGCGTTATAGCCGCTTCCGTTCGTAGTTTCCGTTCCGCGTTTTTCAATGATAAAACAACGATTCAAATATATTCTTATTAATCTAATTTAATAGAAAGAGCCTAATTTTTCTCTTAAATATCATCTTCCAATTCTCTGAGAACATTTAAACGTTTAAATATTTTAAATGTGAAAAAAAACCGATGCAACCAGCAAAACAAAGAGTTTATACATCGAGAGTCTATAAATTAATTCAGCCCTGATATTTATAGATTTGCTCACGGTGAGCTCTAATTAAGAGAGTCTGTGAAGGATGAATGAATTAACTTTGTGATTCACTGAGATTAACGATCTGCGCATTGATATCCGACTACTAATTTATTGCCAGCGTCGACGTAGTATCGTCGACATGATGAGAAGAGACGTTCAGGTAGTCAATTAACATTTTACATTTTTCGACTTTAATTAACATAAAATATTAATCCTAGGAACTAATATCGATTTCGTAGAAAACCTAACATTTTTGTAAATTAGATTTCGATTTAAACTGACGCACGTAATGACTTTTGGGTTAAAGACGTTAAAATTTAATCTCCGTTTATAATATGCGTACAATATAAGGTACAATACACGTTTTTATCACACATCGTGTATATCTGACACTATATGTTCTACACCCACACCGCGGGTTGGCAGCGAGTAATGCGTGATAACGTTACTTCCGGTTGTGGGGACGCGAAACAAACGCCAAGCAAAACGGAGAAAATTAGTACTTTTTTGTCGCACACATGTAATGCGTTTCGTTCACCTGGTATGCATCTGGCCAGGTCAAAATCCCTTCAGAAGTAAACGATGTAATTAATGCTCAATGAGTCAGCATCGGGAATATTTAATTTCATGAAATTTTCTTGTAAAAATTATATTAATCGAAATATGGATATTGTAGAATAATCACAGACTCTAGTCCAAAATTTATATTGGCATAATATTGGCCAAATATATTCCCAACGTTCAGCCAAAAGTATCTAGCCAATAAATTGCTGCTAGGCATATTATTTAACTATCTTCATGGAATGTTATTTAATTCTTTCATTAGCAAGCAATTCTGTATTTTGCATTACGTAAACAAATAGATTAAAATTTCAGCGAGGTATAGAATTGAATAATTGTAATGCGGGTAATTTTACGACTTTTTCCACTCTCACTCGCTGTCGAAATATCCGGAGAACTCATAAACGTGGCCAGGCGTTAAGTGTTACCTCCATAAGTTTCACTTTTCCTGTTACGCACTATTATTATCGCTTCCTCGGTGTACGTGGAATTTATTTCCACTTTTCCGACAAATCTTAATTTGTCACTCATTTTTCCTTCTATCTGATTATCTCTCTTGTTTTCTCTTCCTATTATTTCCGCTCATTAACAAAACACGCACAAAGTTATTAATATATCGTTATACTAATACTATATAATACACATAGAAAAATACGTACTACATTAATCATTAATTGTTTCAAGTATTTCAAGAGTTCGTATATCCGCTTTATCACAAGCATCAAATTTATCCAAAATATATTCTGAAAATCCTAGTAAGTTTAATACTTTAATCAATATTATTAAATTAAGTTCGAGCTGCTTATTATATAAAGTCGCTTTTTCAATAAATTTTATATTTAAAAAAAAAAAGCAATCTTGTTTTGAATACTTAATAATAAGTTTTTCTAAAATTTATAATAAGTATATATTTTAGAATTATTGTCGAGAAGATATTCTTTCTTGAAAAGATAACCGTTATTTAAAAGGAACTTCAGTAATCATTTTTTAGTAACAAAATAATATTTTTCTGTGTATACTGTCGATTAAAAAATATAATTAGTTGCTATCAGTCTCATTAAAATGTCATTAGCTTAAGCATAAATAAGTCGTTTACCTCGTCTTTAGTCACTTTTATAGTCTCACAGGATTCGACGTAAAAGATGGAGCTCATCTCTGGACGGAACCACATAGTTCTGACCTCCTTTTATTTCTCTCCTTTTCTAAATAATTTATTAACTTGTTCAATCACGTAATCAGCGAGTTTCTCGTTTTCATCATTATTTTAAACATAAACAAAAATGCAATCGCAGCACAACACTTCACAAATTCATGAAATTATTCCGCATGATATCATTAGTTTCTCTTGAGTTTTTTCATAATTAAAATAGTTCTTTTTTCTTCGTATTGTATCAGTTATCTTTGAATCATAAATCACTTCCGTTGTTGACATTTGTCATTCAAAAATGAATCGTGTTTATTCCCGCACTATGTATTTCATCATAAACAAGCCCTTTCTCTTATTTTAATATATATATATATACATTTTTTTTCAATTACACACACAAATATCGGATGCGAAGCAATTAAAGATTTAAGTCAGAGGCACTCGCTAATACAACATCTTACCGTCACGGTGGTCCCGTGAAAACTGGAAAGCGAAACTATAATCACGCACCTTCCCCTGTTTAAGTATACGCACGGCGTGTCCTCCCTACTCTATCACAAATACTCTCTCTTTCTCTTTCCTCTCTCCTCGTTATCCCTATCTCCCCCTTTTGCCGGTCGATTATCTCTCAACCCGCATTAATTCTTTTATTCAACGAAAACCGCTGCAAAAAAGCTCGTAACGAGTGAAGTCACTAGAACTTCAATTGTTTGGCAGCATGCATTTAAAATTATACAGGTTAAGACGAGAAAATGTTTCTTTTTACGAAATAGAAAAATTGTAATTTGCTTTCTTTTTCGACAGATTTTTTGAAGAAATTTTAATTTCACAACATTACTGCTGAAATGGATCTTTTAATAACGGCAGATCCTCATTTTATCCCAGGGTAGAAAATTAAGTCCTACAAACCAATCAGTCCTATTTTTAAATTAAAAATTAAAAAGTGATTTGTTTAATAGCCCAACAATTTATTATATTGAAAACTTGAAACGGTGCCGAATGTAGAGTACTTTGGGAATTTCAAGAAAATTCGGTTATTCTTTTCAGATATTCCGGTTATTGTCCGCAGTTCCGATTCAATTACGGTGAAACGTACGCAAAAACCACGCATAAACTGCTGCTCGATCCTACAATTAATCGTGCGAAAACACTCATCCTAGCTGATCGTACAGCTACCGATTGCGAGGTGAATGATATGCAGTGCTTTACTTGTCGATAACATAATAAATAAAAGATAAAATAATATAGGAGAAAATGTATATAAGATAAAAATATAAAATAATAATATAGCTCAATCAGAATAAATCAATATAAATAAATAGAATTATGAGCCAGATTAAGACAAATTAAGAACATTTAATATTCAGAAAATAAATATAAAGAAGTACAATAAACATATAAATTAAAAAAATTTTAAGATCTCAATTCACTTTATGGCGCGTATTTTAAAAGTTATTTTTTATCCGTATTTTTCAAACATATGTATAGCGACCATCAAAGAGCGACATTGATGTGGTCAATGCCCGTTTCAAGAGGACCGATTCTCTCTACGTTCATCCCATGTTGCCAAAATATGAGGGTACTTATCGGTTCCTTGTAATGCTTATCTGTACAAATTTCCGATATACGTTCAAAATCATAAATCGCTGCGGAACGAGTTTTCCTTGAAATTTAACCGATTACTGGGCATTCTGTAGGTTTTGTACCGGGATCGCACATTAGACTCGGACAAAGATACGCGGTGCGCGCGACCGAAGGTCTCGCAGACTTCGAACGACAACAATTGCAAAATAAGGCGGCTTTAGATCGGCTGAGGAGAACGATCAATGTGCAATGTGGGCGAGCCGAGCCCCGGAATTTGGAAGAACGTTTGGTAAGAAGAGTTAAAGAATTGTCCAAATTTTAAAGTTAATGATAGAACGATATCTCTTTAATTTCTAACAATTTAATTATTATTACAGCTAGTTAAAACCTCATTTAAATTACCTTTACTTACTGTGCGACCTGAATATGTAGCAACGAATAATTTATCATCCGACAAGAAATGTAAAAAATCAAAATATGATACGTCTTCGTTTTATATATAAAATTATTAAAATATGCTACTTGTATGTATAAATAATTATAAAATTAAATTAAATATCGAAAAAAAAAAAACAGAATTACATTGTCGAATAAAATTTACGAAGCAAATAAAATATAAAATTATTATCATCATTAAGATAAATTTTTTTATAATTTGTTAAATCAAATTTATTACAAAACGGCAATTAAAATAATTGTATATCCAATATTAATTAATGTTCCTATAATAATTATAGGGACACTAATATTAATGAAGCATTTCAATTGTTTCTATAAATCAATGAAGAATTTGCCTTCTGTCATTAAATAAATAATTTATTGTTTCCTTCAAAATTTAGTTTTTACACGAATATTAGCAATCGAATAAAATGAAATTTTCAGATAAACAAAAACCCACATGGTGTTCCTTTATCCGCGAAAACGCGAAAAGTAAGTGAGTAACAATAAGATCGTATATGTTTGTCTCATTGTCAGTAATAATTTCATGTTTAATAAGTTTAAATTATATTATATTTATTTAAAACAATTCATGAATCTCATAAATACTTTAATGTAAAAAAAATTCAAAAAGTTTGATACTTTTCTATATTTTTATAAAATAGAAATATTTATAATTTTTTAATGTGACATTTTTGAAAGAAAAATATATCTATCATATCAAATATACTTCGCAAAGGATATCATATTCCTCACGGCTATTTCGAAACATCGATTATTCCGTCATATGACGATGCATTATACAGTTTCGCAAAGTGTCAAAAAGGACAAAGTGTACAATATAAAATAACGACGATTTATCCGGAACCTCCGTTACTTGTCCAATCCACTGAAATCTATCATAAAAATGTCGGAATGATACCGAATTATTTTGGACATATTCCTGGAGCAATGTTCAGGTAAATTTAATTAATTAATTAATTCAACACAACTAATTAGGTTATATGACATAAATTTGAGTGAAATGTATGAGGATTAAAGGAGAGGATATGTCAACCCGGAGATCTAAGGATTCAAAAACTTAGAATCTATAAGGATAAAGAGTTGGAATCTAATAATGAGAGTCCAATGAAAGAGAATAACTCAGGGATCCAAGAATCCAAGGATCTAAGTACAAGAAAACAATATATTTTTTTTTTCAACAACGTCTTTACTTTGTAGATGCGGTAAAACGTTCGGAGTTGATTCAAAAGATGCTAAGAAATGGCTTCGAAGAGATTTCGACCTGTAATTTAACTTTATAACAATGTTACAAAATTATTTGGGTCGATCGTTATTAATTGATAGATACTTCAAGATCACTTAATTGAATCTTATATCGCATCAAAATGTATAAAGATTTACAATATCTAGATTTATATATGCTTGTAAATTGAATATCACAAACATAAAATATTGAGAAACATTGATTAATTTAAGACGCTAAATATGTATAAAAATCATAGTCAGTTTATAAAAATTTTTCGTAATTATATCAATTACACTTTCCGTGCACGCAATGTGCTCGAATAGTATGAAAGATACTCAAAAAATTAATCAGTGCACGAAGCACTTAATAGTCATCGAATGTACATATTATACACAAGTACATATATGTACTTAGTCAATTATTAGGATACCCATTTCTTCAAGATTTTTGCGGCTGCTTTCAAATTTTCGTCTTTCTGTTAAAATGTAATAATCGATGTTTAACAGACGCCAAAGTCATTTGTTGTCTTAATCAAAGTTCTTGTATTTACCTTCGCGACAGAGCACACGCACTTACCTTTATAAAACAATATCGTACATAGTCCTCTGCTAGAGTTTTATGTTCAGGACCGTAAAATGCCGTAGGAGGAATACCTTGAAGACCGACGTTCTTCGTCATCCACTTAGTGAACCTGTAGTCTTTATTCTCGTCCGTTTCCTCATGCAGTTTCACTTTGTTTTCCAATGCAGACCAATTAGCGAGCATAAAGTATCCACCCTCGGGTATCGTCGGTACCATACCAACTTCTCGGAGGAATTTCGCCATATAATCGCGCTTTGGTAATAATTCCATTGCTAGACTGCGAAAGTAACAGTCTGGTTGCTCTAAGCGTTCCATTTCCAATTCAAATCCGATAGCTACTGCTTCCTACAATTAAATCAAAAGTAATTCACTAATTTATCAAAGTAAAAATTATAGAATTAAAAAAAAATCGTATTTAATTAATTACCTGAGTTGGTGTAGTACAAGTATACACGGAGTTCTGATGTACCACTTGCAGATTATACAACAAATTCGCTGGTCCATAGGCCCAACCTATTTTCCAACCTGTAACGCTAAATGTTTTTCCTGCTGATCCAATCGTGATTGTGCGTTCGTACATACCGGGCAACGTTGCTAATTAAACAAATAATTTTTTAGATGCCATTCTAAGATTACTATATCATGTATGACTATTTTGGTAAGGCAACTCTTACCTATTCTTATATGCTTGTACGGTTCGTAAACGATATGCTCATAAACCTCATCAGAAATAACAAGTACATTCCATTTTTTTGTGAGATTAGCAATAAATTGCAATTCATCCAGCGTAAATACTTTTCCTATAGGATTGTGTGGAGTGTTGATGATGATACCTTTAGTTTTCTCATTAAAAAGACTTTCCATTTCTTTCCTATCGAATACCCAATCACCAGAGGTAACTGTGCCTGACGTAGATTTCTACAAGTACGTATATATTTAATACAAAAAATATCTTCCTAGCGTTTATTATCTAAACTTCTTACTGGTTTTAATGCTATGTATCTGGGAATTCCTCCGGCAGATTGTACCATAGGTACGTAACAATCGAAGAAAGGTTCAATGATGATCCATTCATCTCCAAGGTTAGTATGACCTTGTAGACTAGAATATAATGCTTCGTAAGCACCAGCAGTGACCAGTACTTCCTTGTTTGGATCCAAATCACGATTGATAAGCTTGGAGTAAAACTTTGCAATAGCATTCACTAGTCTTGGATGACCCTGCAATATTTACATTTACATTAATGACGTAAAATTTATTTTATCATACATAGATAATGTTATCGATGCTAGTTACTGATAACAATTACAATCGCAGTACTATCTCCATGTTAATGTTCCATCAAATAAAAAATCAAGTTACTATAAAATTAATAAAAAATAAAAAGAAATTATATATAATAAGATACAAAACAATTCCAAAATTAATGAATAGAATATTTATTACTTACAAATCCTCTTGTATACTGTTGCATAAGTGGATTGTCACTTTTAGCGACAGCAGCCAGGGCATTTGTCACATTCTCTGGTGCGTAATAATCAGGAAAGCCTTGGCCCAAGTTCAATGGCTTGTACTGCAGAGCGAGCTGGATATATTCGACCCTAACCAAACAAAACATAATATGTAATAATGAGTTTTTATCAGTCTATGTAAAAATTTATAAAATTATTATATCTGTAAAATAATGTTATACTTACCAAACGGACTTTTCATTGCCCTTCAAACGATTTGGTAAGTCAAACTTCGACATTCCGGCGATGTTTCTTACTGTATTGATTGAAACAGTCTTACTTGTCGCCAGAAAACAGACTCTCGTTAACATCTAAATAGGTACGTAAGAGAAATTTTAATGAATACGATAAATTGCGTTCTATAATTATCTTAATTGCACACAATAATTATTCTTAATTGGAGCTCGAAATATGAATGATAACAACAAGTAGATAAATAACAGTATAATAATTCGGAGTATAAGACTGTATTTCTTAGAAAAAGCAGGAATTAGACTGAAATGTGGAATGATCTGGATTGTCGTCATAATTGTCGAAAGTGTATTATCATTGCGATAAAAACTTACGTAATTCATTATGGCGGGAAACTTGACTCTGGCGAGGGCAAATCGCCATTTTAAAATGATTATAAATCCAGCAAATCATAGATTGAATTGATAAATAATTACTTCGATTTCAATTAACGGTACTTTTTTTATGCATCGCTCAGTGTTTATTTTCAAGTGACAAAAATATCACGTGAGCGAATTGTCACCAATGAAAATTCTAACATTCAATCACGTGACACTTTCATCGTTAAAAATGAGCGACGCGACGAGTGATGGAAAGACACCTTAATTAAGACATCTTGGATTAATCCAAGAAAACCGCGATATCGAACACAACATATGTTATGGTTACTTATTTCCATTTAAACTTATTTCCATATAAAAATTGAGATAATCCTCAGTAAGCAAATAATGATGTAAATGTCTGAACATTATATTTACAATTTTTAGACTTTTCAATGTCACTCGTGTGAAAATGGAAAGCGATAGAAAGTAACTGCAGTTGTTCACTTACGAATTCAAATCGTTGAAGATTAGAAGTACTCGATTTCGCTGGCTCTTCGCGTTGGATGGCGAGATAAAATGACAAGCCGCTCTAAACGAACGCGAAACAGAATGCAACGAAATGCTAGCGAGCGTGTTGACTTGTACTTACAATTTAAGTCGCTCGAAAGTGCTGGTAAAAGTCCAGCTTTGGAAAAAGTAGAGAGGGACACAGTGCGGAAAAGTCTCACAATAAATGCTTCGGAGCATTTGATTGGCCAATAAGAAGAAAGAATTTTATTTAATTGACTAACCAAAGAATGCTTCAAATATTTTTTGTTGTAGCATTATATTAACCCTATTCAGAGATAGAAGAGAAATAAGCTCATGGCGCAATCTTTCGAAAAAATTCAATTTCATATCGATGGAGCAGATATAAGGAATGTTTCGTTAATCTCCGTTATTTTCCCGCCGCGCTAATTTTCGTCGACCTTTTCCCTGAAGATTAAACTTGATAAAAAATTAATATTGCGATAAAGATATTTTGTAGAAATCATAATGGTGAGAGATTTTAAAGAGATTAGAAATATCAAACAAAATCTGTTTGTTATTATCGTCTTGTAAAATATTGTAGAGATCTAGATCAATTTCTTATTTGATTTAGCACGACTACTGTTCATCCCGTTCGTCGTCCTTTGTTTTAATCTTTTTTTGGAACAATTAAATAACAGATTTTACTTACCGAGAGCACAAAGAGAATCGTAACGTTTCTCACGACAGACATGTTCGGTTTGATACAGTTTCAATTTGAAATATAACAACGAGAGGCAAAAGGCCAACCACTTTCACTTTTCCAGACATTCAGTAGTCCACCTTCGTATTGACGGATGGAGTAATCCAATCTCCCTTTCCTGTTTTTTTGGCGCGCCTTTTCTACTGACATAGATAAAATATTCTATAGACCGGCAACTCTGAGTGAATTTCCATAACAAATATCGGGACTCGAACGAGCCCAAAAATTCATATTTTTTTATCTCGTACAGTCCCGTTTTTATCGCGTGAAATCAAAATATTCAGGCTAATATGCATTTGTCCATTTTTTGTCGTTATCAATCGTACAACAAATTTCAAGCTTGTTGATTGGCTGTAAGATAAAGAGATCCGAAAATCTTATTATATACGACTGATAAGGATGCGACAAAAAGCGGAATCTACAAAAAATATGAATTTTTTTTATGTCTAAATATTTTTTGTACTTTTTAGCCTTTATTTTTTTTCTTTCAAACATTAAAATGTTCGTTTTGATCTCAAAATATGCATTTAAAAATGTTCATTAAATGGCGTCAGTTCGATAGTCTGTTTAAAGATCAGGTTGAATGTTAAAAATTGGTAGAAATTCGACAATACCGGCATCGATATCATCAGCAGAATAAATAAACTGCACGAAAATGACACAGAACACGCAAATGATAGAGGAACTTGATGATTGTTTCTTGAGAACGGCGGGGAATGTCATGAAATACTATGGTGAGAGTTCAGCGAGGTTAGAAATATGTTCGGAATCTTTTAAGTGCTTCTTTTCGCATTTTTGCGTTTTTCTTGCTCGTCTCTTACGTTAGCGTTATTATTCAAGATAGAAACTTGATGATTATTTTGTAAGAACGGCGAGGGACGTGAAATACTATAGCAAGATTTCGTTGAGGTTAGAAACAGAATTTTCCAAATACTCCTCCGAATTGTCTTTATTTTTTTTGCGTTCGATTTTAAGCGTAGAAAGAGTACAACATGCTTTATTATGATTTTGCTCTCTCTCTCTCTCTCTCTCTCTCTATCTATCTATCTATATCTATCTCTCTTGCGCGCGCGCAAAAAAATAAAATATATGTAAATTTTACCTTATTTATATTTTCAGACAATGAAGAAGAAAAACAAAAGATATTGAAGCAGTTACGAGAAACCTTAATGGCCAATTGTATAGAGTCTGCGAGAATAAAGGCTGCGAATGAGATCAAAGAGCATCTAGAATGTATGTCCGAGCTCGACTCAGAAGAAGATGTGAAAAATATCACAACAGTAATGATCGCTTCAAATAAAAAAATTATTAGTTTGATTTTTAAAATTTACAATTGCTTGCTATTGTTTATAACAGGAATATAAGAAGGCAATATCCGAAATTCAAGTTAATCCGTTACAAGACAACAGACTGTTAGAGTATGATCGTCAAATTAAAGGCTTGCAGCAAGGTAAAGTTTGAAATAAAAGATCTTAGCACTGGAATTTTTGTATTTAACAACAATGTTGATATTATTACATTGATGTTGTGCAGCTTTTTTTTTATCATGTACAAGGTAATTCATTTTAATCTTAATAGACAAATATTTCAGAAATATATAATTTTGTCAGAAACATTTTAAATAAAAGTATTGTATAGAAGAGGACATTTGTATGTATTTTTTTATATCACTTTTATATAACTTTTATTTGGAATGTTTTTTTTTTAATAAAATTGTATATTTTCGAAATATTTGCTTGTTAAAATTAATCACTCTATGTATAATATCTGCACAATAATAATATAAGGATGTTGATACTGTTGTTTATAAAATTTTAGTGCTAATCACTTGAGGTTTATCTTTAGGTATTTCTTTCTGAGATTATCATACAATTTTAGCCAATAAAGCTGAATCTAACGCAGTGGATGACGCAGACGCTGATCTACGGTTAACAGGCAGTGAAATAAATGTAATCGATCCAATCTCAAAGATGAGAATGACCGATCCTGTGAGAAATGCAGTCTGCGGTCACATATACGATAAAGCAAGCCTTGTCGCAATGTTACAAAAGAACAAGAACACTAGGTATGTTTTTCACACTATATCAAATATTGGGATATGCTACTATAGCATTTACGTTTGCTTTCAGATGTCCTGTGGTAGGTTGCACCAGTCTGGATTATATAGATTTAAGTCAGTGTCGCTCTGACTTTGTGACTAAAACATATCTAGAGAATCATCCTGCTTAGATCCATTGTTTGAAAACAATGGATAAAAAAATATCTATAAATATATATCTATTAGACTCAAATGCACATTCCGTGGTGTATATAGTATACCTCCATATTTATGTTGTGAGATTTAAAAATTATTACTTTCATTATATTTAGGAAGATTCTGTCATCGAATTTAAATACTTTTTCTATATAATTGCAAGAAATATAAAATATATTTTATAAGATACAGTATTATAGAAGAAATAAAATATTCCTAGTTATTTGTACGATATATACAAGTATATATATTTTTATTCGTGTCGAAGATAGATCTATGACAAAATTACTTCGAGCGATTGTATTCGATTGCGTGCAATTGATCTAATCGCGTATATGTTCGCGTTGCTGTGCAATGGTCGATGATGATAAGACTCAGGCTATGTTTATGTCCGCTCTTTTATCCGTACTTCTAATTCTATCAAGCATTCGTACTGCCGGCGACGGTTTTGATTATTGGGACTTTCCGAGATCGCCTGCTTCGGACGTAATTATGAAAGATATCCACGGATGCGCATTACATATGGAGCCCCTTTTTTACGGGGGTTTCATGCAGCCACCGCAACGCCGTCTTCTCGAACATCCGCGCAGGGCCAAGCAGGTATATCGCAGCCATGACTATAACATCGCACGAGAACATCACCAGCCTCGAAATAACCTCGACGAGAGCAGACTTTATCGTTCGTCAGTGAAAAACGATGAAGATGAGAACGAGGAAGAAGAAGAAGAAGAGGGAGAAAATCAGAATGAAGAGGATAAGCTCGATGACGAAGACGCCGACGAAGAAGCCGCGGAGCAGGATGAGGAAGAAACGGTGAACGAGGAACCCAAGGAGGTCTACGATTATGGTTAGTGTTGAAGAACGAAACTCTTGTCACGTTTTTTAGGTCGCGATCGCCGCCAGGAATCGCGTTGTGAGATCCGATTACGTGCCGCTCAGGGATGAGGCTGGTGAATGTGAAAGACAAGAAGATATGAGGATCAAATCGACTACCGAGGAGTGCGAGGAGGAATCGACGGAACCGTCGCAATATTACGAATACGGTGAGGACGCGTCAAGACGAGAAGAGCAACTATTTTCTTCTCTTTTCTTTTCTCTCTAGGACAGACATCTTGAGATTTTGTAATATAATTTTCAGAAATAAAAATCGCATAAAACAATTAAATCAAAATTATAAAATATATCGTTTAACTTAATTCAATTTTCAATCGACAAGCTTTGGCTAAATTTATTGCTGGTTTCATGTAATTGTAAATAAAAATTTTTCAGAGACCGAGGTGAAAAATGTCGCTTCTCAAGATGTCCAATATAGCAAACGTCAAGCGATACTCCCCACAAAGGTCTTTGGCGCGAGTTTACTGATTCTTTTGCTTGCTTAAGAAATTTGACACGAAGAAAAAGCATTCACAACATATTCTACAGTTTCCAATTTTTAATCTTAATGATTTCCCTATCTCCTTTCTAAGTAACGGAAGCATTACAACCAGCAGAACTTTACTTCCAATCTTCTATAAAGTGATATCAAATAAGAAGTATGATAGTGTGGATGTGAGCAGAACAGAAACATTTAAATGTATTCTATAGCAAATGAGAGCAATCGCGTGCAATG